ACGGGAGGCTCGCCGAAATCGTCGACCGCACCCTCCGCTAGGTCGTAGCTGTGGTCCTGGCCGTCGTCGCCACCTGGAGCCGCCTGGGACGCAGGCGGCTGACAATCCAAAGACTGCCCGCCACTTGCATGTGAAGCAGGAGCAGCAGGGGCAGCGCGACACTCTCGGTCACGCAGTGCTAGAAGCCCGAGGGCGTTGCGGCCAGAGCGTGTTCATGCCAGAGTGAAGCAGTACGTGGCGGTGCCCTATCCAAAACAGAGGATCTTGGACTAACCTGCTCATGCTTTGCAGCGGTCGCTTGGTCGGTCACCTCGTTCAGGTGCGAGAGCCCGCAATCGTCGCAGCCACAGTGTGGAAGTACTTGGCATGCCTCGATCATCGCGACACGCGGGCCAACGGGCAGGACCTCCAGGCAGTGAAAATCAACAGCTCCAACACTGCCTCGATCGCCAGCACAGTCCTCTCGATCGCCAGCACAGTCCCGAGCTCCAGCCACAGCCAAACCTGCATCGCCACATCGATCGGAAGCGGGCGGAAGAATTCCAGCATCATGCAAGCCATGCGGGGGGCGAATCACCGCTCGATTCTCGAAAATGCGAAGCTCCGTTTCGAAATCAATGCCGTGCAATGCGCAACCAACGTCTGCCACCCCAGGCGGTGGCCAAGAGCAAGCGAGAAGGCTGGGGTCGCGATCGCCCCCATCAACTGAATTACCATTCGCATCAACAGACAACACCTGACCGTGCAATTAAGCAATAAACGCCGCCACCTTCCAAAGGTCGGCGCCGCCGCAGTACCCCACAACAGAGGGCAACTTCGAGAACACCATCGGCGCGTAGTGGTGCGGCACAAGCTGCGCCAGCACGCCCACAAACTTGACCATCGCATGCGCAGTCTCACACAGGGCCGCGACGTCCGCCGAGAGCTCATCGCGATGAGGAAAGTGTTCGTGGAGTGACAGGGGGCGACGATGGTGAAACACATCATGAGCAACCAAAGGGGTTCGCGCCACAGACAGTGGAGCATCAGCAGCGGCGTCAGGATGCGCCGCCTCGCGAGGGGGCTGCCAAATAGCACCAGCAGCCCGAAGAGGCACGCGATGTTTGGCCCGCCCTGAAAAGGAACTTTCCTTCAGCGCCCTCTTCCGCTCCTCGGGCGAAGGCGTCGGCCCCAGCCGCAGCGGCAGCGCGACGAAGAAGGTGATGCCGAACACCACTGCGGCGCTGAAGCTCTGCACGCACTTGTACACGTCGTTCATTTCGAATCGTGCTCAGTCCTAGTTGTGCTCGTTTCTAATGGTTCCTGGCCCCCTGGTGGCCAGGAAGAGGCCCAGGGCAGAACAATTAGAAACGAGAGGATCTTGGCCCCCCAAAATCACAGAACCTTCCAAAACTTAGAACTGAACAACGGGTAGTCCATGGACCACTGCACGGTCACGCCTGGCCCCGCGGTGAGCGACGCCCCCCTCAAAAAGAATGAGGGTCGTCTGGAGGGAGGGAGGGAGGGAGGGAGGGAGGGAGGGAGGGAGGGAGGGGAGGAGAGGAGGAGGAGGAGGAGGAGGAGGAGGAGGTGACAGCTGCGGCGCTGAAGCTCTGCATGCAGTTGTAGTCATTGGACCACTGCGCGGGGCATTCTGAGCGAGAGGCTCGGGGACCTCGATGTGCCGTCGCCGACAGGGGCGAGGGCGAAACCGTACTGGCGTCGCACGGCCCGCGGAAGACGAGCCTCGCGGGCACGGCCGCGCCGCGCGTGCACCACCTCACCGCGCTGGCTCCACCCCAAACGGACAGACTACGGTCAGGGGCTTCCGGACCACAAACATAATCCATAGTCGCTCGACGAGCAAGCCCGCGCTGGCTCTACCCCAAACTGACAGAGGTCAGGGGCTTCCTGACCACAAATAATGCGGGATGGCGATTAATTAAAAAAAGGAGAGAACGATTAAAGAAATGGCTTTCTGCTATTTCTGCACAATTTTTCTGACTGGAGGAGAACGATTAAGACAATAATTTTCCAGCCCGCGGCCGGTTTCTTCTAATCGTCATCCCGGGCGCCGCCGCGTGAACACGACTCCCGGTCATTTATTAACCATCGTCCTCCAATAATCCATAGTCGCTCGACGAGCAGGCCCAGCAGTGTAGAACACCAGGGCCACACACGGTACCTCTGACGCTACGGGGCTCCGCCCCGCCAGCAAGGGGCCAGAGAGACGCCGCCGCCGACGCGCAAGGGAAAGCTGAGGAGCGCGTGCGCAGGGCCTCTCCCCCCCTCCTGGCACATGGGCTCTCGAGCCAGGATGGTGACGGAGGGAGGCGGAGAAGGAGGAGGAGGAGGAGGAAAAGGAGGAGGAGGAGGAGGAGGAGGAGGAGGAGGAGGAGGAGGAGGAGACGACGACGACGACGACCAAGACGACGACGACGACGACGACGACGACGACGACGACGACGACGACGACGACGACGACGACGACGACGACGACGACGACGACGGCGGCGGCGGCGGCGGCGGCGACGGCGGCGGCGACGGCGGCGGCGGCGGCGGCGGCGACAACCAGCGAATGCACCCTCCGTGGACGCGGGCGAGCCCCTCGGGAGGCACGGGTGCCATCTGGCCGAGGCCCCGCGGCCGCCCGCGCCAGAGTCCCGCGGTGCCCCCTCCGCCCCTGCCCCTCGGCCTCGTCGCTTCCCGCTTCCTCTCTTCCTCCTCTCTCTCCATCGGCGGGGCCGTTGGGGGGCGCGTCAGGCTGCGGCGCTCAGGTCGGGAGCGCGCTCCGCCTTCACCCCCAGAAGCTAGGCGTTAGGACGACATTTGGGGGTTCGATTGCATGCTCACCCTCGCCATTCCCACTCCCCTTCCTCTCTCTTCTCTCTCTCTCTCTCGGCCGGGCCATGGAGCGTGCAGGGATGCAGAGTTCTCGTCGGAGGGGTGCGCGTTCCGCATTGGCCCCCAAGAGGCTTCTGGGATCGGCGCGGGGGGTGCTAGGGGCATGGGGGGGTTTCGCTGGATGCCAAGGTGGAGTATGTCTGGCCTAGCCTAGCCTATAAGTGGGTTGCACATGCCCTGGGTGGCTCAAGGGGGTTAGCGCGATCTGGGCCAAGGTGGCTCCCCCCACTTAGCGAAGTCATCCAAACCCTCTGAGCCACTGGGGGCATGCCGAGCCCACTTGCACGCCCAGCTCGGCCAGATACGACCCTCCTCCGCATCCAGTGATCACCCCCCTATCCCCTGAACCCCCCCCCGCGCCGATCCCAGTTGGTATAGGAAGACATCGATTGACCGCCTCAACGGCTCAGTGTCCGATGCCCGAGATACTGGGCGCGCGTGGCGGCCCGTTCGAACAGAGCTGCAACTCCGCCGGCCCTCCGGGACGCTCGCTCTTCTCCAAAGCCGCTGCAACAAAAAAGTCCCGTGTCCAATGTGTTGCTGCACTTCCTCTCAAACCGTGCTCCGCGAAGATTGGGACATTTACCTCATGACTCGCTCATGACTCGCTCATGACTCGCTCATGACGTACTAGAATATCGTCATCTACCTGGGAAAGTCTCTGAATTCCCCCCCCCCCCTGCCATGCCCCGCGTAGGTCCTTTGCCGTAGAAGTGAATGTGCCGCCGCGCCGCTTCTTCTCGCCACGCACAGAAATGGACGACGCCGACGCCACAGCAAATCCAGGGCAAACTCTGCGTCCCCAGGTAGAGGAGGGAGGAGGGAGGAGGGAGGAGGGGAGGAGGGGAGGAGGGTAGGAGGGTAGGAGGGTAGAGTGGAGGAGGGGAGGAGGGGGGAAGGGAGGAGGGGGGAGGAGGAAGGAGGAGGAGACGACGCCGGCACCGCGGCAAGCCCACCGCGTCCGAGGCGGCGTCTGCCCCGGTGGCCGAGGGGCCCTCCCCGAGAGACGGGAAGCCGCGCGTCGGAACCAGCGGCGCGGCGACAGGTTATTGCCCTGAACCCTGCGCGGCCCACAGGAGGGGCAGGAGGAGGAGGAGGAGGAGGAGGAGGAGGAGGAGGAGGAGGGGAGGAGGAGGAGGGGGAGGAGAAGGAGGAGGAGGAGGGGGAGGAGGAGGAGGAGGAGGAGGAGGAGGAGGAGGAGGATAGGAGCAGGAGGATAGGATCAGGAGGACGGCCCAAGACTGCGCTCTCAGCAGCTCGGCCCCAAACTCTCCTGGTTCGTGTGCAGCCATATTTGTCCCCCGCCTCTTCGCGAGAGCGAGGGCCCAGGATGCCCCGCCTCCCCACAGGCCACTACAGCCATGCTTGCCAGAGACGGCCCAAACACCTCTTGGAGGCGCCGAGATGCCTCAAGAGTCCCCGTGAAGCCACCACGGTGCCCCCTGCGAGCCCCCACAACAAAGCCCTCGGAGGGCAAACCCAATGTAACGAAATACTTGCGCAACGTTTCACAATTTATTAGTTTGCTTCCAAAATTTGTCTGTCTAGCTAGAAGCCCCAGAAATCAAGAAAACATCAAATCCTCCCCCGTCGGAAAACTGCAGGAACCTTCGGAAGCCGTGGAAGTCCATCGGAAGCCACAGAGGACCTCCGAGCAAATTTGACCCCCCATCCTCCAACAAACCACACACACACACATCCGACGCCGCGATGTTTTCGTCACCTGCACCCCCGGTCCCCTGGGACATATCCCAAGACAAGTTTTGACTCCTGGCCGTTTTTTAAAACCAGTTTTTGGCCCCGAAGCGGGCCCCCTGGAGGCCCACAAAGCTTGGAACGCCTGCCGTCTCGGCCGTTCTCCCTGGCGCAGGAGGTCTAGGCAACAACTGGGCAACAGCTGCCCTCAGACCTCACTCGGCGTGCGTCTAGACCAGAAGCTGAAGGGAAACCGGCCATAACGAAGAAGAGCTTCCTCGAGACCTCCCAAATCTCGGAAGATCTTGACGAAGAAGAGCTTGACGAAGAAGAGCTTGACGAGGAAGATTGAGGGAACGTCCCAAGTCTCTATCCTCGATCCTCGAGACGACGCTGCTGGCAACATGGTGCGTAACGCCAGCCTCGTGGATCAGCGAGACAGGCACTGGGATGGTCAGGGCGAGCGCCACGTACCGATACTCCGTGCCCGCCTGGTCCTCTTCGCCAGTCCCCCCTTTCGGCTGGCTCTCTGTGGAGGAAGGGTGGACCCATGCCTTCTCCCGTCGTGCGGAAATCACAACAGGAGATGTTCGAGCGTCTTCGGCTCCGATGGGGGTCCTTTGCTGGGCCCCGGGCGGTCAGAAAAACCTTGAGACGGTCAGCCAGTCCCGGGGAAGGGGTCGAGACCGCCTAGGTGAAGTTTGGTTGTTGATGCCTCATTTCTAAAGAATGATGAGTGCTGATCCCCCCTGCGCCGTAAGCCTGGTGTGCTTCCAACGCATCCTAAGGTGTTGGGCCCTCGTAATGAAGAGACAGCACCCCGCCTCCCACCTCTCCTCTTCTCTTCACCCCTCCTCCTCCCACATCTTCCTACCATCTTTCCATCGACCCAGCATCATCTCATCATCTCATCATCATCCTCTCATCATCAACCTCATCGTCATCGTCGTCATCGTCATCATCGTCATCATTACCATCATGATCATTACCATCATCATCATCATCATCATCATCATCATCATCATCATCATCATCATCATCATCATCATCATCATCATCATCATCATCAGCATCATCATCATCATCATCATCATCATCATGATCATCATCATCATCATCATCATCATCATCATCATCGTCATCATCATCATCATCATCATCATCATCATCATCATCATCGCCGTTCTTAGCACAATCATCGCCGCTCATGTCGGCACAGTGCCTCAATCCGCGGGACCCACCAGCAGCCCTCGAACGTGGCGGCAGTGTCGCAGATCGCAGCCCCCCAGGGACTGCGAGGTCTCGCTCAGATCCCCGCGGTGCCTCGGTCCGCAGGACCCACCAGTAGCTCTCGAAAGTGGCGACAGCGTCGCAGATCGCAACTCCCCAAGGACGGCGAGGTCTCACTCGGATCCCCGCGGTGCCTCAGTCCGCAGGACCCCCCACCAGCAGCCCTCGAACGTGGCGACAGCGTCGCAGATCGCAGCCCCCCAGGGACGGCGCACACACACGCACACGAGGTACGCACAAGACAAGAGGAGACAAGACGGAAGCTGGAGACGGGAGGCGGGAGAAGAAGGAGAACGACGCGACCACAGTGCTCTATTCAAAGCGAATGCCCAACCAAGGAGGGGTTGGGACAAAAACGCGTCTTCCTGCTTAAGCTGCGCCCCTGGCCCCTGGACTACAGCAACAACGGCTCCCGCCTGATCCTTCCTGTCAATGTACGGAGGAGTCGCGCTCTCGCTAGGGACTTTCTTGTAATTTATCCAAGAATCGCGCTCTCGCCTATGACTCCCTTGCAATTTATTGAGGCGCCACGCCCTCGCCATTCAAGAATCGCGCTCTCGCCTGGGACTGCTTCATAATTTCCTTAGGAATCGCGCTCTCGCCCGGAACTTCCTGGCGAATTATGCAAGACCCACGTGCTCGCGTAACATACGCGTTTGTGTACTGCCGGTGAAATTCTTCCTGCTCAAACTGTGCCCGTGGCCTTCGTCTTACAACAACAACGTCTCCCGCCTGATATGTCCCAACGAGTTATTCCTAAATCCGCTCTCGCGAAGGACCTTCTCATAATTCAATGCTGGAATCGCGCTCTCGTGTGGGACACCCCTGCAATGTGTTCAGACGCCACGCGCTCGACACTCACGAATCACGCTCTCGCTGTCGATTTCTTCAAGGTGCATATGGGGGATCCCTCCCCCTTGTCCCTTCCTTCCATCCGTCCTCTCTTTCCTTGCCTTAGTGGTTGCGCGAAATATACACATTGCTGGTAAGAAAGATACAACCAAAGGGGTACAATCGAAGAAGAAACGGGTGGGCATCGAGGGTTTGGGATATAATGTTGAATGGCACGAGAGCAGGGAAGGGCGAACAATCTTAAAATCATTGCTGTTGCTGTAGTCGCACTTCTAAGCAATGATTACTGTTGATCCCCATCCTCAAGTGCCCCCCCACCGGGGCTCGCACCCGGCTTTTTATCAGGGGAAGTTTGGTGTCAACAAACTGGGCTGTTGGGCCCCGGACTACAATAATAATCACAACAACGGCTCCCGCCGGATACTTCCCCACAACATATTCCCAAATCGCGCTATCGCGCGTGACTTCCTCACAACTTATGCAGGAATCGCGCTCTAGCGTGAGACTTCCTCAAAATTGTTTCAGGCGCCGCGCCCTTGACACTCAGGAATCACGCGCTCGCTCTTGCATTTCTAACGATTTACTTGGGAATCGCGTTATCGCTCGAGCTCTCCTCGCGATTCATGCAGTAATCACGCCTTAGCAACACGCCTTCTCGAACTGGCCGCTTGGGCCCGCCTTTCCGACCCGCTCGTTAGAGTCTACCCGCCCGATGGGCCCGTCTGGTTCTGCCACGTGTCTTCTGCCCCTATGTAAGGGCAATGTGTACTGTAAGGCCACCTCCAAGGCCGCGAACGGCTCCCAAGCCCAGCGCAACCAGAATCTGGCTTCGAAGGGTCCTGCAGGATCCTGCGCTCTGGCTTCACCAGGATTGCGCCGAACCCCGCTACCTTCGGGCTGATTACCACACTCTCCCTCCTCCGCGGGGTGGTTGTCCTTCTCCAGCCGCATCGGGAAGAGGGAGAGGATCAGCCCCAGCAAATACGTCCACAGCATCAGGTGCGAGACCTCGCCCCCCCGACTCTGTGCCGAAGCGTGGCGAGTCTTCCCTCTCCCCCATCGTCCTCTCCCTCTGGACCCCCCCCCTTCCCCTGACCCCCTCGCGTCGTGCTGAAATCGCGACGGGACATGCTTGGCAGTTTCCTGCCCCAGGGGGCCCTTACCGAGCCTCGGGACCATCCAAAAACGACTCAGGATGAACCCGGGGAAGAGGTCCCCCATCCGCGAAATCTCGGTAACGGATGTCGGTCGCGACAGGAGGGGCCGAATTTCGGTAGTGAAGAGACGGCGCGTCGGGGTCCAAGCGCGGGTTTCCAAGACGTCGACGGCTCGCTCGTTACCAGAATTCCTGACCAAAGGCCGAACTTCGGTAGCGACTGGTTCGTTCAGAGCGTTACTGGACATTGTCGGTAACAAGTGATCTATGTCGAGACTTCCGGGGGTCCCCGTTGTGAAACAGTTGGCTGTTTTGATCTGGTCAGCATGAGAACGCAAATGACGCCACACCACTACACTGTACGAAATACCTGTTACCTACAGATGCGACCGGGGAGGTACCGATAAAACGGTTGCCCTTGAAAGCGAGCCATTGAGAGCCAGCAGTGGCTGCCCGAGGAGGAGGGAGGAGGAAGAGGTAGAGGAGGAGGAGGAGGAGGAGGAGAGAAGGAGGGAGGAGGAGGTAGTGGCGGAGAGGAGGAGGAAGAGGTGGAGGAGGCGAGGAGGAGGAGAGAGGAGGAGGGAGGAGGAGGAGGATAGGAGGAGGAGGAGGAGGAGGGGAGAGGAGGAGAGGGGAGGGGAGGGAGGGAGGAGAAGGTTGAGAAGGGGGAGGGAGGGGAGGATGGAGGTAGGGAGGGGAGGAGGAGGAGGAGGAGAGGAGGAGGAGGGAGGAGGAGGAGAGGAGGAGGGAGGGAGGAGGAGGAGGAGGGTAGGGAGGGAGGAGGGATGAGGAGGAGAGAAGGAGGAGGAGGAGGAGGAGGAAGAGGAAGAGGAGGAGGAGGAGGAGAAGGGAGGAGGGGGAGAGGGGGAGGGGGAAGGAGTAGGGCCTGAGCCAAGGGCCCTTCCCTCTGCTCTGTGCACCCAGGGCGGGTACGCGGCGCGGATCCGTGCAGCGGCGCGGTGCGGCACGGCACGGCAGGCGAGGCTTGGCCCGTGCACCCTGCCCGCGCCTTGTGGGCAGGGATGTGCGGGCTCGGGCTCGGGCTCCGTTCGATCTCGGGCTCGGGCTCGCTCCTCGCTCCTCGCTCCGTGCTCCTCCTCCTCCCCTTTCCTCGCTCCTCCTCCCTCCTCTCCGCATCCGCTCCTCCTCTCTCCTCCTCCCCTCCTCCTCCTCCTCCTCCTCCTCCTCCTCCTCCTCCTCCCTCCTCCCCTCCTCCCTCGCTCCTCCTCCTCCTCCTCCATCCTCTCCCCCTCCTCCTCCTCCTCCTCCTCCTCCCCCTCCCTCCTCCTCCTCCTCCTCCTCCTCCTCCTCCTCCTCCTCCTCCGTCTGCTGCTGCTCCTCCTCCTCCTCCGTGCCCGCATCGGAAACGGCCACCCTCGGTCCTTCTCGCCGGCTCCGTGGACGGGCGGGGCCGTCGCTTCCCCTGCCGCGCGCGAGGCGCCACCGCGTCCTCCCTTCACGGCGGACGGCCGCACGTGGGCGGTCCGGGCCCTCGGCTCGCGCCCTCTGCCAGGTCCTCCGCCTGCTGCCTGGTCCCAACGCCCAGTTCGCCCATCTGACGTCTGGGGGTGGACAGGGGGGAGTTGTTCAAAAAGGAAAAGGGATGTGTCAGGAGGAGGAGGAGGAGGAGAAGGAGGACGAGGAGGAGAAGGACGCCGGGCGCACGAAGGTGGTTGCCGCCGTGCACGGCCCGATGCAGCTGGCCGGGGACCCCCGCGGGGCGGGGGAGACGTCCACACGCAGGAGGCCGAAGCCGTGGAGAACTCTCGTGCAGCGCGGGCCATGGAACTGATCTACGCCCAAATTCGGGGGGTGGGTGGGTGGGCATTTTTTCATAACTAGGTGCGCGCGATTGACTTTTTTTCATTGCCTCCAAGCGCCGAAATCGGGTGAAGAGGGGGAGGAAATGGAAAATGTCGCTCTCCAGGTGCAAGCTTCGTTCGCTGGGTGAAAAGTTTCGTTCCCTGGGTCGACCCCTCCACGGAGACCTCAAGATCATCTGGGCACTCGTGCGAGCACTTGCAGCAACCTTTTAACAACCTCGGAGCGGATGCCGGTATAAGGGTTGTGCGCCTCCGTGTGGAGCCTCTTTCCAAAAAAAGCCACGACCCCTCCACGGAAACCTCAAGATTATCTGGGCACTCGTGCGAGAACTTGCAGCAACCTTGTAGCAACCTCGGAGCGGATGCTGGTAGAAGGGTTGTGCGCCTCCGTGCGGGGCCTCTCTCAAACAAGGCCATGATCACAGACCAGGGGAAGCCCAGGCAATCGCCCCCTGCCCTGCGCCCTCCCCTCGATGACGTGGATCGTGCGCCAGAGGCCGAGGTATGTCCCGCACGAGGCTCCTCTCCCCAACATCTGCCACGCCATGGCGCGGGAAAGGAGGGGATGCACTCAGACATGGGGCAGGGAGCCAGGACAAGAGGCAATCTGACAGAGGAGAGATGATGAGGGTGCACCAAGACGAGGAGAACCGGTGGCGCCGATCCTCGCTGACGTCCACCACATCACGCTGATCCTGCTGCTTCTGCCGCTCCACTTCTCCCCTCTTCCAAAATTGCCTCCTCCACCTCCGCCTCTTCCTCCTCCTCGTCCTCCTCCTCTTCCGCATCGTCCTCCCTCCTCCTCGTCGCTCCCTCCTCCGTTTCTCCTCCTCGGACCACCCGTTCCTCCCTCCTTCCTCCTCGGGGCGGCCGCAGCCCCGCGGGGAGTTTTTAAAACTCACTTTGATCGCCCGATTAGAGAACTTTCTCCTCCCTCGTTTCTCCTCTGTCCATTTTTTGTCCTTCCCTTCCTCCTTTCTTCCTTCCTTCTTTGCATTCTTCATTCTCCTCCTCCCCCCCGAGCATGCGCGGGAGCGTGTTGGGGGGGGGGGGGCGCGAGGGACGAGCGAGGAGCGCGGGAGCGTGTTGGGGGGGGAGAGGCGCGAGGGACGAGCGAGGACGCGGCAGGGAAGAGGAGGGAAAGACGAGGAGGGTGATGATAATGATGGCGGTGGTGGTGATGATGATGACGAGCTGAAGATGCTGATGATGATGCTGATGTTGATGTTGATGATGATGATGATGATGATTATGACCGTGATGCTGATGACGATGTCGATGTCGCTGATGATGGTATTGCTGATGATGATGGTGATGATGGTGATGATGATGGTGATGACGATGTGTATGATGATTGTGATGATGTTGATAATGATGTTGATTCTTATGATGATGATTATGATGATGATGCCGATGACGATGTTATCGATGCTGAGGATGATGGTGATGATAACGAGCGTCAGGTTGACGCGGATGACGGTAACGATCATGATGATGATGCTGATGCTGATGATGCTGATGATGATGGGGATGTTAATGGTGATGATGGTGGTCGTGGTGCTGATGATGACGATGGTGATTATGTTGATGGTGATCGTGATGCTGCTGCTGCTGATGACGATCGTGGTGATGATGATGACGACGACGACAATGAGCGTGATGATGTTGCTGATGACGGCGACGACGACGAGGGGGAGGAGGCGGAGATGGTATGAAAGGAGAGCCGACGGCGACGACGGCGACCATCCAGCCCTCGGCCGGCCGCCTTCCGGGGAGACCCCTGGGGGCCTGCGCCAGAGGAACAGACCAAATCAATAGGCATGATTTCTCGAACATCTGCGTGGATTTCTTGGATCGGCGCTGAACCCCCTCTGAGATCCTCGCGTCTCAATTTTTCGAGCCCGGCGTTGTTTCCTGGTTTCGGGCCCCAGGGCACTTACATCTAGATCCTGCTCGGGAAACGGAAGAGAAAGATGGAGCCCAGGCCCTCCAGGATCTTTTCACGCTGTTGCTAGATGTCGATTTTTGTCGCGACGTCGGATCTCAAGGCTCCTCTCTGGCCCTCGGAGCGCGCCAGGGGCGGCGCCGGGGGCCCCGCGGGGGGGGGGGCACAAGGGCCGATCCAAGAAACCCACGCGACGCTTAGAGAAATCATGTCCATGCCGTGTTCTGTTCTGCGGCTCAGAGGTGCTCTCCTCCTCCTCCTCTTCCTCCTCCTCTTCCTCCTCTTCCTCCTTTCCTCCCTCCTCCTCCCTCCTCCTCCTCCTCCTCCCTCCTCCTCCTCCTCCTCCTCCTCCTCCTCCTCCTCCTCCCCTCCTCTCCTCCTCCATCCTCCTTCCTCCTCCTCCTCCCCTCCTCCTCCTCCTCCTCCTCCTCTCCTCCTCCCTCCTCCTCCTCCTCCTCCTCCTCCTCCTCCTGCTCCTCCTCTCCCTCCCTCCCTCCCTCCTCTCCCCCCTCCCTCCTCCCTACCTCCCTTCTTCCTCCCTTCCTTCTTCTCTTCCTTCCTTCCTTCCTTCCCATCCTCCTCCTCCTCCTCCTCCTCCTCCTCCTCCTCCTCCTCATCCCCTCCTCCTGCTCCCTCCTCCTCCTCCTCCTCCTCCTGTCTCCTCCGCCTCCTCACTCCTCCTCCTCCTCCCCTCCTCCCTCCTCCTAAACTCCCTCCTCCCTCCTCCTCCTCCTCCGCCTCCTCCTCCTCCTCTCCTCCTCCTCCTCCTCCTCCTCCTCCTCCTCCTCCTCCCTCCCTCCCTCCCTCCCTCCCTCCCGTCCCTCCTCCCTCCCTCCCTCACTCCCTCCCTCCCTCCCTCCTCCCTCCCTCCCTCCCTCCCTCCTCCCTCCCTTCCCTCCCTCCTCCCCTCCCTCCCTCCTTCTCCTCCTCTCTCCTCCTCCTCCTCCTCCTCCTCCGCGTCCTCGTCCTCGTCCTCGTCCTCGTCCTCCTCCTCCTCCTCTCGCCTCCTCCTCCTCCTCCTCCTCCTCCTCCTCCTCCTCCTCCTCCTCCTCCTCTTTCTCCTCCTCCTCTGACCCCGACCCCGCCCGAGCGTTCTCCCCGATCCTGGTCGGTCGCCCCGATCCCGCTGGATCGACGGCTCGGCCGGATGCGCGGCTCCGAGAACTTACACGTCGTTCATTTCTAATCGCGTTCGTTTCTCACTGTGCTCGTTTCTAATTGTTCCTGGCCCCCTAGTGGCCAGGAAAAGGCCCACGATAGAACAAGTAGAAATGAAAGGATCTTGGCCCCCCCCAAAATGAAAGGCCTTTCGAATCATTAAAAAAATGAACCATGTGTATGCCTATGCCGTTTCCTGCTTTTCGGTCCGCGGAGGCCTCGGGAGGCCCCCGCGGACCGAGAGTGAACGGCTGAACGGGGGACGCGGGGTGGCCAAGCCTGGGCGCGCAGGCCGCTGCTACGGCCTGGCGTTCAGCGCTCGGGGGACCCCATAGGGCCCGCACCACGGGTCACTCCGGCGAAAGGTCACTTTTGCGTCCCGGGGACCTCCCCCCAAGACGAGATCTTGATCCTGAGTTGCTTTCGGACAGTGCCCAGGGCCCGTGAAGGCCCCGAGAACCCGAAAGCGGCGAGGAACCTCAGGACCGGTTTCCCTCAGGACCCGCTGCTGGGGGAGCGGAAAATGACACAAGCATAAAAACTCGGAGGCCCACGCGGATTTCTTGGATCCGCGCTGGACCCCCCTCCCTGGCGCGCGGAGCGCGCCAGGGGCGGCGCCAGGGGGCCCCAGCGCCGATCCGAGAAATCCGCGCGGACCTCCGAGTTATTATGTCTATGTCCTTGTGCGTTCCCCTAGCCTCCCCATCTGGCCATCGCTCGGACGTCCATTCCCTGTGTTTTGTTCGGTTTCGAACGTGTTTCTTTTTCGCCAAATGATCAAGGATGCTCCTCGATGGTCCTCGCCGAAGGAAAAATGCACACGTCCGAGCGATGCCTCCCCATGGCGACGAGCCGCAACGAACCGCATCGGAACCGCGGCCCCCGCACCGGCGAAGCGAATCTCGCACCAGGTGCAGACCGCAGGCGCCCCCCTGCCCGGTCCGGCTTCTGCCGCCGCGCGGCCCGCGCTCGACCCCTCGAGAGGCCGCCGGGGGTGGGCCTTCGACTTGCCGTCGCTCGGACGTCCAGTTCCCGTGCATTCTTCGGTTTCGTGCGTGTTTTTTTCGCTCGATGGTCCAGGAGGGTCCTCGAGGGTCCTCGCCGAGGAAAAACTGCACACGTCCGAGCGATGCCAGGTCGACATCTGGGGCGCGTCGGCGCTGCCAGCCGCGCCGAGGGGGTATAGATGCCCAGAGATCCGATGCACCGTTTCCCGATCCTTTTCCGGGGGCCAGCTCTCGTCCTGAGCCTAGCTGTTGACGGTCCTGAGGCCCGGCGAGGTGCGGTGGGCGTCCAGGTACGGGCCGACGGCGAGGAGACGTGATGTCACGGACAGAGTGCCCTTCAGAAAACTTGCGACGACACGCGACGTCGGCAGCATCAGCAGCAGGATCGGCAGCAGCGGCAGGGTCAGCGGCAAGATCCCCATCGGCATCGGCGGCGGCGGCAGGATCAGCAGTGGCAATAGCAGCATCAGCAGGACGGAGCGCAGCGCGCGCCGTTTTCGCGCGCCATCACGCCCTCCCTAGGCCGACGCTCTTGGGCGGCGATACATGGAGGGGCGATCAATGAGGGGACAGCGAGGGCTGCAGAAAAAGGGGCCCAGAGGGAACTTCAGGGTCTGCAGAGGACACCTTTCTCTCCCCCCCCCATCTACCGCCCCCCAATGATTCGCGCTCGACGCTCCTGTACTCATACAGGCCATCACGCCCTCCCTAAGCCGACGCTCCTGTACTCATACAGGGAACAAAAATAAAGCGAGACCCCAGCCAGAGTGGCGCCACAGAAGTGCACGGCGAGAAGGGCCGCGCTCGGCGAAGGCACAGGGCCTTCCAGAGGGCATCGCCACCCTCAACTCGAATGCTCCCTGACCTTCCGATCGGGCAGGTGCCCCCCATCGGGGACCCGCCCACCTCGCCCCTCCCCCCAATGGCTCTCTTCCTCGCCCCACCCATCATCTGCGCGCCGCGCACTGACGACAGCCTCAGCGAGCCGCCTCTAGAATGAGAAAAAACTGCACAAACATGAACTTTTGGCGCTGCGTGCGGATTTCTTGGATCTGCGCTGGACCCCCCGCCCTGGCGCGCGGAGCGCGCCAAGGGCGGCGCCGGAGGCGCCGCTGGGGTCCCCAGCGCGGATCCAAGAGATCCGCGCTGAGCGCCAAATGTGTATGTTTGTGGCGTTTTTTCTTCTTCGAC